AAAGTAATAGATATGCTCAGAAAGTTTCTCAGAAGCTTCCTCTAAGACAATTGGATTTTGTTTATCCTCTCCTACTGTTTGGTTGGCAAATCTTTCAATTTTTTTCATTGCAAATGGAGTTAAATGTTTTGTGCCCTTCACAGCTGAATAAGGAATAGATCTTCCTTGCTTGTTGGTATGAAAATTTACCAACCATTGCTATTCCTCTACATTTCCTAACTGAGATTTTGTAATTTGTTACTTTAATCCTCGTTATCTAGTTTGCTCCTTACATGAGCTTTAAACATAGATGATATTATATTACTGCTTCTATATGCCTTTTTAAAACACTAGGACTAGATTCGTTTTCTTTGGGCATAATTACCTGCAAAAACCATTGCAGGTTGATACACCTGGGATATGTGTTATACCAGAAGAGGAAATGGTGTATCTCGGTGAACCTGTGACAAACCTGATCCTATCCAGATGTAGTCTGAATGTCTTTTTGTCAAGCACAAATTTTTAATTTGATTTAATTAACTTCTGTTGATTATGCAACAAAACCACTATAAATTTCTTGTTTAACACATCCCACTTGGTTTATCATCCAATTAACTTGACAGTGCTTTAAGACTGGCTTTTTAAAAGTCTTCTAAATACATATTCTAGTGGTCAATCCTACATTCCTTGTGCTTTATGTAAACGTGGTATCTAGGCCTTACAGCTAATATTTGGGAAATTTCTAATTCTAGGTCCAACTAGAGTGACAGATTGAAAAAACAACTAGCTCTATTCAGAATCTATAAGGAAAACTTGGTCCTGAGACTTCTAAACATGAGGAAATGTGTTTGCTTTAATTTATTGATTTATTTATATGAAATAGCTTTGAAATAGCTTGACTCTATTGGCCTTTGAGATAGTGGATCTTAAATTCACTTAAAGCTTCATTCAATACTGCAAGGCCAGTGCATTAATCAAATAGCAGGCTTGGAAAACACACAATAAAATTTTTAACCATAAACTCTTGGTGCCAGTGGGTCGGAAGCACCCACTGTTAAGTGCTGTGGCTTTTGGCATCACTGCTGAGGAGTCAACCTCCAGGTGCCACAAAATCTTATCAGCTTAAAATATCCAAGAGCACTGTTTCTCAGCTGTAGTGCTGCAGCCCTTAAGCTCATCACAATGGATTTATTATGAGGTTAATTCGGCTAGTTTTGAGAAGAGGTTTTTGGGTCATAGCAGACCAATTTTCTGTTGTTGGCTGATTTTCACCTTCCTCAAACCCTTACCTTCAACCTTCATATATTTAGTGAAGGTATATAGAAAATGCAGGACTATCCCTATGTTTATTCGATGCTGTGCTTTGCGTTTTCTTTCAATTACAATGGTTTCAGTCCTAAAGCTTACTTATCATCTCTCCTCTATTTTTTACTTCCTCTCTGTCTGGTTTTTGCCAAGCAGACATCACGACACCCCGGTCCCCCACTTGGATGGAAGCTTTTCCTCAGCATGGCAAACATAACCTTACAGAAGCCTCTGCTCTCTCTAGGACACACATACCAGAGGCATCAACAGTGCATCAAACAAAAGCAGTGGGGCATCTAGATGTCAATCACAGTCTGAGATTCTTGCAGCAGCAAACTCACTGATGCTGTGGGAGGCTTGACTGGAGCTCCAGGAAGAAAAGCAGCAGATGTGATAGGATGAAGGGCTGGCTGGCCCTGCACAGGGGCTCAGGGCTGCATCCCCACCTGGGGATGATGGGCTGCTGTGTGAGGCTGTGCCTGAGGCCACACAGGCCTTTCCTCCAGGACAGGGAGCAGGCTAAGGTTTTAGACTGCTCTTTTGTGGGCAGTTGATTCTTTTTCTACCTCCATAAAGAAGTAAATTTCATAGCAAAATCCAGCTGTACTTTATGAGCTGCATGAGGTTGTATTTGTGTCCTTTATATGAAAAATTAAAGACCTGGTAAAAGTTGGGTAACAGAGGAAGAGGAGACAATTTAATACTTAATAACTGACTGAGTATGCAGAAGTTCTGTATTCAGTCCTTTAGAGATCTTTGGGTCCTTGACTTTATATATAAAGCTTGCTTTGCATCCAAGTGACTTTACATATTGAGGTGAAGATCGATATCAGTGGCTACCAGCAAAGTAAACTGCAGCCATGCAGGTTCCTGTGTGGTGCCACTGGCATCATAAAATCTCACTGTGCACCTCTGTTCTCCACTGAGCTCCACTGTTTCCCATCAGTCTTGAATCTGCTATCATCAGAATGCATGAGGTCGCAAAGGAGATATTATTCTTGCTTTCAGTAGGGTAATAGGTTGTTTTACAATTAATATTTAATGGGAGTGAGTTTGGAATCTCCAGGAAGTCATTAATAGTTGATCTGCTTAAAGGGGGGGTTATTTGGGTTCATCCCATCTGCAGTAATTATAATACATGTTAGCTTGTGGGCAGCAACCATTCAGGATAGCGGGTCTGTAACCCTGAAGGGAGCAAAAGCCTGGCTGAATGAGGAGCAGGTAATTCATATAGGATGGGGAAAGTGCTCTGTGAGAATAAACATAGTGTACAAAATCATACCTAAAGCTATTAATCTATGTGTTTAAACTTAAAAAGAAAAATTATTTGGGAAAAAAAATCCATTCTTTAGACATGCCTTTGTTGTTGTGTTCTGAAGTACAAACAGGGTACAAAGCTAAAGCCAAATTTGCTCACAGTGCAGATCATCACACCTCACAGCAAGAAGTACTGGAACTATATCACAAAAAAACAAATGAAAAAATATAAAAACCTTAGGTTTAAGCAATCAGTAGACAACATCAGTGGGTAATTTTTTATAAAAACACAAATACCTCATTTATGTAAAACCACGTTTTGATTGACTGCAGCAATTTGTGATGTTATGCATGCCAAGTTTGGCAAATAGCTCCACCCCACCATAAATACTATTTTCTAATGGGAAATAGTTCATTTTGACAGTTTATAAACTAGGTGTTTTGATTTTTTTTTGTTTTGAATCAATCATTCTAAAACAAAATATACATCTCAAAAGTTTATAGATTTTTCTTTAGAAGTTATTGAAGCTGAAATGTTTCAGTTCGGGTGGAATAATCAGGTGTTTTGTTTTGGTTTTTTTATTTTATTTTTTTTTAATTTTAGACAGCTTATGGACTTTTAGTTGTATTTTTTTCTAAGAATCTGAAAATTCAGGCATTCATATAGTAAGCATGGGATAACAAGACACTCTGAAGGACCAGCAAAAGTCTTCATTGCACCCTAGATACTGAAAAGATTGAGATTTTACAGCTTGAAATCCAGATGATATTGGTATTTATGGGAGTGAAACTAGAATATTTGAAACTTTAACTCAGTTTCAGCATGGAAAGTCCTTCAGAGTGACTCTGGGTTATTCAGAGGATGTGAACATAAAACTGAACATTTATAAAAGGCCCCAGACCTCTCCTGTCCTTTGCAGTGTTCTCAGCAAGCTTGGCTGCTACTGGGAGCACATGGTGCCATCAAGTTTATTGTTCCTTATTGATCCATGTTGTCTTGGTTTAGGGCAAATTTGGGAGGAAACTTTCAAATGGGGTCTTTTAAGAAAGCAAATTCAAGCAGTCTTTCTTTTTCTATACGTTCCAGAAAGATTTTTTTTAGAGAAACGTGGACAAGCAAAGCACTCACAAACATGAAAATATGAATAATATTAAACAATAGAACTTTTCATTGTTCTGAAGAGATGGTAAATTTAGAGTTTTTTTGTAGGTCAGAGATTTGTTCATGGGTGTGTCTTCAGCTTTCTCTCAGTCTCTCTGGGGCTTGGGTGTCTCTCTCCAGGGCTCAGGTCCAGCATCCTGGCTGCAGTGCAGATGGGGAGCCCCTGGATGACAGTCCTGATGTTCCTGGGCTGAACAATAGCTGAGCAGTTCCAAAAAAATTCTGGCCTCAGTTAACTAAAAAAAAAACCAAACCAAAAAACCAGCTAAAAGCAAAGGAGAGCTCTCTCCCCCTCTGCCCATGCTGCAGCAGCAGGAATTCCAGGAGCAGGAATGTGTGGGAGAAAGTGCAGTTTCTGCAATAAACTGCGTGCTTCTTCTCCCCCCTTCGCTCTTGGAACCAGTCTTAAAGGTACAGAACTCAATATCCAGCATAAACAGGACAACTGGGGATACAAACCTCATAAAATCACCCTACGACATTCCACCCATTACCTCCATATCATCAGCTTACTACCAAAACTTACTACCAAATATTTTCTAATTTTAAACATACATACGCACACACACATATATGTATATATCTCATATATAGCTATATACAGATATTGCTAGTGACATTCAGCAAACAGTGACATTTATACATGGGTTTCACTCAACAATCAAGATTTTTCTGAGGTACGCATCTTGTTCCATCTTTCTGCATTATCCACCACGTGCAACTTGGTCTTTGAGCAAAGACAACTTCATGTCTGTACTTGAAGCAGAATTGATCCAAATAGATTTTAACAAATCTCTGTAATGAACCATTGGGACTTTGTCTATTGTGTGCAGGGGCTCAGATTGGGTAGGGCCTGCTTGGTTGGTGGAACTTTGGGTGTTGACTAACTAGGTGGCCTTTGGTAGATGTTGCTCTTAATTTTTGAAAGATCTCCCACCCAATGCTTTCAAGGTGGTTTTTAACAGTCTATTGTACCTCTCCCCTTTTACTGCAGCTGGTGCATGGTAGGGGGTATGGTACACCCACTCCATGACATGTTCCCTAGCCCAGGTGTTGATAAGGCTGTTCTTGAAATGGCTCTCATTGTCTGACTTAACATTCTCAGGGGTATATGTCTCCAAAGTGTAGGGGGATACAGTATGGGTAAATGAAGGTGGTATCGAATGTAATCTTATCCCCCAATGAGTTGCAGCTGAACCAATTGCTAAAGATTAGGAGCAGGGCTGATCTTAACAGGCCACACCTGTAGCCAATAAGAACAGCGGTATAAAAGAGTGGGTTGGTGGGTACTGGAGTCAGGTGATGACTACTGCAAGGACCAGGAGGAGTCAGTGCTTAGAGGAGTTGCCTATGAGAAACACTGAGGAGGTATGAAGCTCTGGTGATATGGAATCCTTGCACTATAATGATAAGAGAACTCTTGATATATAAGATAACACCCAAGGACTTGTCTTTCAAGGGCCAGGATGGTGTTATAGGCCATAGCATGAGGCACAGGGTAGGTTTCTAACCATTTTGTGGTGTCTTCTACCATTGTGAACACATAGTGCTTGCCTTGGTGTGTCTCGGGCAGTGTGATGCAATCAATTTGTCAGGCTTCTTTAAACTTATATTTGTACCCCTGCACACCATCCCACAGGGGCTTTGCTCCCTTGGCCTGTTTGATGGCAGCATGTGTCTCACAGTCATGGATAACCTGAGAAATACTGTCCATGTAACCATCCCTTGGTCTTGTGCCCACTTATAGGTGGCATGTCCACCCTGATGACCTGAGACATCATGGGCCCATCGAGCTAGGAGCTAGTAAGGCGATTAAAGAGGGCCTTCTTCAAATCTCCACAGTACAGATCAAAGATTCTGGTACCAAACATAGACATCCTCCAGACAGAAAGAGGAGGTATAGCCCGTGACGTGAGCTGTGGTTCTCCTGCATCATTGTGGGGAAAAATATGTGGGTTTGACTTCAAAATTTTAGTAGTCAGTCTGTAGTCACCCTAGGATGCAAATAGACCCTGATTACTGACTTTGTGTGCTAGCTCTAATCCACAACAAGGACAGCTGTGGAAGTTGAGCTGCCGGAAAGCATCAAGTTGAAACTGGGGGAACCTGGTCTGTAGTTAACCTAACTGATATTCATCTTAGGGTAAGCATCATTCCAGCAGCTTTGACTCCTGGGAAAGAATATGGTAATAGAACTGTTCATATAAGGTTGTGATTCTAAAAAGTTCCCCAGTTCTTCCCCCTGATTGGTTGTCATTTGATGTAGAGTTTTACATATTCCTAATCATTGTTTCAGGTTGGATCCTTACCCTCAACTCCACTCTCCACCTCTCAACTGACCACACATATAATATATATACGTCCTGTCTATCCTGTTTTTGGAATTAGTCTGTTGCTTGGCTTCTCCCATTTGTTGTTTTTGTCATTAAACCCTTTTACTTTTTGGACGATTCCATCGCACCCATTGATGGAATTGCCACCTTAGTCCCAGAGTCACAGAGCCGAAGCTACAAGAAATAGAGAAGGCACTCTGTGCTTCAGTCATCCTAAATTTTGTCTCAGAGTGATGTCCTTAATATTCTTGGCTCTTATAAATCTCTAGCTTGTTCTCCAAAGGAACTTAAAAGAACGAGATTCAAGGGGTAAGCTCCAAGCCTGAACCAACAGCTCTTAGAGCAAGGGACTGATCTCTGCTGGGCCCTTGTGGCTGGTTTCAGCTCCTGTTCCAAGAGGATAATGAAGAAAAGCTGGATTTCAGTAAAGAAATGGAATCTTTATTCAGCAAAAGAAGCCAGTATTAAAAACCCAGAAAACTAATCTGTTCTTTCTATTAGAACAGATGTAGACTCATCAAAAAATATAGTTCAAATTTATAAATTAATCTGATGGCAGTGATGCAGATTAAGAACTGATGGGTTTTTCATGGCTTTTAAAAAATTCTTTTAATATGTTTAGCCAGCTCTCAAGATCCCTGGATATTGCTTTCTTATCACTGTATTATCTCTTGGTATATTGTTTTTGCATCTTAAATTTCATTGTTACACCCTGACAACTTGGAATTTGTGGTCTCATATCACCACTAAGTTATGATGGTTTTGCTGTGTGATATTAATAACTTTCTCAGCATTTGTTAAACTGAAGGACCTGCCTTTGTATACCAAAGAGGGAAATAAGTGAAAATATTCTACTGTTGTTGCTGATAGAAATCGACCTTTGCGTTGTGTATTTTCTGAAGTCTTCCAGTTCTGAAGCTGTTTGTGTGTCCAAAGTGCACCAGAAACCCCAGGCTTTGGCTGAAGTTTCATGAGGATTACAAGAAAATCTGCTGACCTCTGTCAGTGTAAACACAGGAAAAGTGTCAGAAAATGTCAGGAACTACTGTGAACACAATTGATGAGAAATCAGTGAAACAAAAGAAATATTACTATTGATAGTACCATAGTACTTATTAGCACTATGTTTAATGCATGTTTTTACGTCATCTCACTCTCATATCTGGCAAATGCATCAGGTACGTGAAATGAGTCTCTAATTAAAAAGAACTGCAGTGGGATCCTGACTTCATTAAAACTGCGCATTTGCCTGTGTTTAGTCATACCTGTAAGTACTTGAAGTAAGATCCTGATGCAGAGACACACTTCCATCTTTGTAACCTCTTTCAGTCTGATCTTACAGAGTTTCAAAAAAGAAACAACTGAAAATTGAGATGGTATTGATTGACGTTACATGATCTCCAAAGCCTTACCTTTACTGTAAATTTGTAAGATTTATTTCTAAGGCAGAGCTGCTTTAGTGCTGAAGGCAGGAATCTCAGGATTTTGCATCTACAAGTATACTTTAATCAGTGTGCTCCTGCTTCTTCACCTCTTGGATCTTGTGTTATGAATATGGAGAAATGTTTTTGAAGAGAAGAATTTTGCTGCTACTCAGAGATGAGAACTGTGGGTTTGAACAGCACCTCTGAGCTCCAGATAAAGGCAGGCAGCCCTGATTTCTAGTTTACTCTTCTCTAACTTGACATTTTGTCATAGATAGATTCAGCAACAACACCCGTTTTATAGGTTTTGTGACAAATAATAAGTGGTTTTGAGGATTCTGAGCCTGGAGATGATTCCTCAGAAGAATTCCATAGAGCATGTCCACAGCACTACTGCTTCTCCAGGCTGCTCTGGTACCCTCTCCAGGGGCAGGGCAGGAACAATCAGGCTGAGCAGCTCTTTAGGTAAGCAGTTTCTTTGGCTGCAATGCTGTGATCTGGGTGTGTAGTAGTAGTTTCACCCAGGCCAGAGGTAGAGAGAGCTTAGGCCAGGAGTTGTGTAGCTGGTGAGCACAAATTTCCCTTTTTGGTTTCTGTAAGACTCTGGGCATGCAGAAAGCTCTGCTCTCAGTTTGCACTGCTGTCCCTCAGCCTCCTGTCCCTGCCCTTCTGAGGACAGCCCATCACCATCCCCATCTAGTTGAGTGTAAACAAACCTTTTTAGGTCATCATTTTGGATTTAGAATTCCTAGTGTCCTCCTAAATCCTGTTTTATATTCTCATGTCCTTATTCAACTCTAAATCAAAAGAGAGTGTATATCTTAGTATTAAAGGTTAAAGAATCTGATTATCTCCCCTGGCAGTGAACAGTGTCTTGAGGTGATGTGCAAGTCATATTTGAGTGCCTCTTATTTAAGATGGCAATCTTTCATTTGCCTTTGCATTTTGTGATTATTTTATAATTGTCAATTTTTTTTCCTCAGTTCCGTGGGACTAAAAATATTCCTTCTACAGGATAAAATGAGCAAACAATTGAGGATTGTGTGAAATAGAGGCCAAATTCAGGAGGAACAATTTTTTCTAATAAAAGATTATCTGAGCTCTAATGGTCATTTAAAATCTGAGTGTTGAATCTTGCAAAATGTAATTTATTGATAAGTCACATGATCTCCACATTGGTAATGGAAGTTTTGCTGGCTGGGGAAAAGGCTTGTGACTTAGTCCTCATCTTTTGCAGTTTGCTGTGTGGGAAGGGTGGTGTTTGCCACATGATGTAAGGTTATGGAAAAAAATACTCTGGCATAAAAAAATTTATTCAGGGTAACAGACTGAGAACAATTGCTAGCAATTGTAATCACAGAATCATAAAATCATAGAATATACTGAGTTGGAAGGGAGCCACAAGGATCATTCAAGTCCAAGTCTTAGCCCTGCACAGCACCACCCCCATGAGTCACACCATATGTCTGAGAACTTTATCAGAACACTTCCTAAGCTCTGTCAGGCTTGGGGCTGTGACCACTGCCCTAGGGAGACTGTTCCAGTGCCCAACCACCCTCTGAGTGAGGAACCTTTTTCGAATATCCAACCTGAACCTCCCCTGAAACAACTTCAGGATGTTCCCTTGGGTGCTGTCACCTGTCACTGGAGATCAGAGAGCAGTGCCTGCCCCTTCTTTTCCCCATCATGAGGAAGTTTCAGACTGTGATGAGGCCTGCCCTTCAGTCTCCTCCAGGCTGAACTGACCAAGTGCCCTCAGCCACTCCTCATACACCTTCCCCTCCAGACCCTTCAGCATCCTCATGGCCCTCCTTTGGATGCTCTCCAATAGTTTAATGGGGTTTTTGTATTGTGGCACCCAAAAGTGCCCCCAGCGCTCAAGGTGAGGCTGTCCCAGAGCAGAGCAGGACAATCCCCTCCCTTGCCCAGCTGGCCATGCTGTGCCTGATGCCGCAGGACAGGGCTGGCTATCCTGACTGCCAAGGCACTGCTGGCTCATGTTCAACTTTCCACCAACCAGGACCCCCAGGTCCTTTTCTGCAGTGCTGCTCTCCAGCCATTCTTCCCCAGTCTTTATATGCAACCAGGTTTGCTCATCCCAGGTTCAGAATCTGGCACTTGTTAAACTTCATATGGGTGGTGATTGCCCATCTCTCTAATCCATCAAATTTTGTAGATGATCAGAAGGGTATTAGCTGCATAACCTGCAGTTTTGTTTCTTCCTTTGTTTTCCAGTTTTTGTGGTAATGGAGCTCTTCCCTAGTGGTTCATCCACTGTTAGATAATGGCAAGGAAAATCAAAATACGTAAGAATTTTACAAACAAGAGAAATCCAACATTCACCCCGTGCAATGCTACAATTGGCTTTTATTTTCAAGTCTTCTTATTGACATGGTTGAATAAGTTTGGCTTTCTGTGTTAAGGGCTGAATTTGTCTGTCTTGTATTTCAAATTTTTTTTTTTCTGTAAAAGCGTCTTACAAGAGGGAGAATTGTATTTATTTTTCTCTCTCAGATATGTGTCCATTTGTTCCGATCATCTCTCTAAAGAGATGCCAGAAGGCAAGTGCAGCACCTTTCCTCATGTCTCAGGCTGAGGAGGAAGAACAGATGAGGGGGTGATCTGCGCTGACTTAAGCAGGCTCCTGTATATGACTCCCAGCTGCTTTCCCCGGCTCTTTGTGCCCACTTGCCCCAGAGGTTCTCAATGTGCAAAGGCAAAGATAAGAGGAATGTTTACATGAACACTTTTCCTCTGGAAACAAAAGTCATGCTGCAGTACTGGAACAACTGTTTTATTTTTGTTCTCTTGCTTTAAATTTTTCTGCTATTATTTTTATTTCTTATTTTTAGGTGGATGATAAAACTGATTTATCTTAAATCAGGGGTATTCTACCTCTTAAATCAGTGAGATGGAGGAGCCAATCCCAAATGCAAAGGAGTGGGTATTTTTATTGTCAACATCTGTAATCACTGAGGTTGTCCACTTTTTCCTCTGTTTCATTTGGGGACATTTGATTTTAGCTTTATTTTTATTTATTGTCATTTTCCCTCCTGAGTCACTAAGACCCTCTGAAGGTTGATAAGTCCCAGTAAAGGTCAATAAATGCTTTGAAAAATATTTTTTTCCATTTTTAAGGAACTGAAAACATAAAAAAATTCAGGTGCCACTGCAGAATGTTACAAAGGCTTGATGGAAAGAAATGGGGGCAGATTTCAGGGCATTAATAGCTAAATCTGCCTCAATGTCATTCACATAATTTATAATGTAAGGATTTAGTGAAAGCATAATGTAACTGTATCTATTTGATGAGTGAAGAAATACTGGGCTGTGTTATATGACAGAATTACAATATTTTGTACAAATCTGTACAGACTTTATGGAAGGAAATTCATAATACTTTAACCAGACATTGTTTTTCATACAGTATCATATCCCTCCCTGTGATTGTAGAGGGTGTTCCTACAGAATGAAAATATTGTCTAGTGAACAGTTTTGTTTTATTTTGAGCATTTGAAGAATCAATAAGTGTTTCCATCATTGGAACTAAAAGGACAAGTATGTGTATGAAGGATAGAGAATTCTAAGAAAAATTAAGTAGTAGACTGGAGATGAGGAGAGAATAAAGAGCTGTGAAATGTGGTGTTGGCTTATTTAAGAGCTAGCTGAATTCCCCAGGTGAAAAATAGACAGCAACAATCTACCCAGCAATGATAGTTGCAATTATTATATGATTAAATGGAATATGAACAAAATGGTTTTGTTTGGTTTGGTGGGGGTTTTTTAACTTTCATTATTTAGTAATGTACTTTAATGCTTCTGATTATGTAATTATTTTTATTAGCAATTTTATGAACTATCTGCTTTCAAATGCTCTGTTTTTGAAAAGTTCACCTGTGAACATCTGAGCCTGTATGCAGCAGGTTAAAGGTAGTCTAGGACACAGTAACTTAACATTTTTGTTTCTTTGTATATCATAAGCACTGCTGAAGAAATGGACAGGCAAATGAAAACACTTCTATTTGTTCTGATAAAGACAAAATTATGCATGCAAGTGGTCTCATTGCCCTGGAAAACAGTCATGATGAGTTTCTTGGTTTCCAAACTATTCAGGAGTAAAACATCAAAGAAAATAATATACTTCTAACATTTACACAGTTCACATTTCAAATCCTGCCTGGACTGCTTGGTTGTTTTGTTTGCTGTTATTGAATTCAAATTGTAATGTTTTTCATTGCTGTGAGAAGTGTTTCCCTATTCAAATCTTTCTCCAAATATGTTTCTCTAGGTACTCAACATCTAATAATGAAAAAGTGTATGCTTGTTTTGTCTCTTTGGTCCTCTCCTTTGATGTGTTATGAGGATAGGTTTTACTTTTATTGTGTTTTGTAAATCTGTTGTTAAGACTGAGCTGTGTGTTCAGTCACTTAGTGTGGAGACTTTATGAATATATTTATTATTCTCCTCCAGATGATAGTTTGATTTGGGTCCTGTTCTCATTGCTTTTTGTATCCCTTAAACAGCAGAGAGTTTAAGTTGTTCTTTTTCATGTTATTTGTTCTCCTTTTAACACTGGAAAAGAAATGTACTGTTGTGTTCATTCCATAAATAATTAGAGAATTTGGTGAAAAGGAGCTCTTTATTTTTTTTTTTTTTTCAAATTTGAAGCCAAGAGCTGTAAAGGAATATTAAATCAAATAATACTACCGAATATCAAATAAGTAAAAAAATATCAAATAAATAAAATAAATACACAGAAGACCAGAAGCCAATGGCTGCTGTACATGTCCACAAACAGCATGGCATTGAGGCAGGGCCTTACAGAGGCAGGGGGGGCTGTGGCTAACTCAGTGCTGTTAAACATCACCTGGGTAGAACCCTTACACAAGCACACACACAAGGAATCTTACAGCATCCTCCACTGCCCAGTGTCTCCTAGATCTTCCCTTTTTCCCCTCCCTCACCATCCCTATGTCTATAAAAACACAATCTTTGCAGAAACTAG